TATCAAATTCCCTTAAACATCCCTTTCAGTATTATCAACAAGTAACAATTGATTAGAATGAGACTTAAATAAACCACCAAGAACACTTTTATTGTAATTGAGTGTCTGGAACAGTTAGTGTCAAAATACCAATCATCTTAGTTGGAGATCTAAGAAGGGTATGAGAGATAAGGCAATTATCACCTTCCCTGAGTATTAACCACTGCTTGGTTAACCCATGTTGAACTTGACTTTAGAGAAAGTGACCTAAATTGTTAAAATCAACTTTTCACCGAAGAAACATCTTCAGTGCAAGTATATGCTTTTGACTTGAGCTTTCCGATGTATAGCACAATGTTGAGACATTAAGATTGACATCCTTAACCCAACTTTCCTTTTGATGAAAACAGCTTGTTGTCACTTGAGTTTTCACTATGCAAGTTGTAGCTTGAAAAATCAATCCCTTTTATATTTCCAATTATTCTTCCACATGAGAAACTCCCTTCAATCAGAACTGAACTCGCCTTACATACTTGATCATGATATCATGTTTTAAGGATGAAGTCACTTCACCTTATAAGATATAAATAATAGACAATCCTTCATTCTCTTAAGACATAAGACCCGGAATAGGCCACCTTCTATTTCTTCATGGTTGACAGTCTTATTTATTCTAGACATACGGATCTCTGAATAAAATAGTCAGCACATCATGAGATAAACCTTCAAAAAAAAAATCTTCATTAGAAGTCCATCTTCCAATAAAAAATAAAAATATAAAACCCATACAATTGTTCTTGATATAAGTAGGGCATTCTGCTCCACAAAGATCCAAGATCTTTACAATCCTATGAATGCTTAGACATTGATCTATACACTAATTCCAGCCTTTCTTTTAGCATCACAGAGTTGTTGAAGTCACACATATGGTATGACATGAGGTCACGACATACTGTCAAACATCTTCAACTCCTAAATGGATTTCCTTCAAAGGAACACAATAGTAGTAAGAATTCCTTCATCAGAAAATTGAAACAAGCTTCTACAGAGTTGGAAACAAAATAAATGCTCTTGTTCTTCTTCAATAGTTGTAACTTCCATGTCAAACATCTTAAATAGAGAGATGAGTATCTTATTCTTGATCAACCTTTCTATTGATCTCTTTTCTCTCAATCACTAAGATGTGCCTTTATGAGTGGACTTGAGAATTTCCCAAGTATCTTTGGCCATAAGTGATAATAAGTATGAAAAAGAAACTTATCAATTCTACTGATTATGGTATTGACAACTTCAAGGTTACATAGAGACAACTCATGCTCTACTCTTTAATCTCTTCAAAATTAGGATTCTCCTATCTTGATAATTCTTCAAACAATTTTGTCCATTGATAACCATAATACAATCATTCCAATCTTCTATAATGAACAATATTATCAAAAAAAATTGTCCCTAATGCTCACCCAATAGACCAAGGTGCCTGCTCTGATACCAATGGAAATTTCTCTAGTTCAGGAAACTCATGTTAATACTGATGTCTAAACATCAGAAATATGTCACTACAGATGTTACGATACCTTTTGACAGACTGAATAGATTTATCATGTTATAACAGATACTGAAACTTAAAGTCCAAACTGAAAAATAACACAAAGAGTTGTTAACCCATTTCGATGTAACATCACCTACATCTGGGGGGCTACCAAGCCAAGAAGGAAGTCCACTATCAGCACTATCAGTTCAAAGGTAAACAATCCTAGTTTATAACTTCTCGCCTAATCTATACCAAATGCAACTTCTACCTAGACACCTCCTAGATATGAGAAATCGCCATCTCACTTCCTTAAGCACCTCAGTGACATCTAAAAGTACCAATCCTAGTGACTGTATCGAGAATAACTTAACTAGAAGATCATACTTTCATTATAATAATTAGCCAAGACTCTTGACTAAGAACAAAGTTTAGATTTGCTTAAAAGCTTCATTCAATAACAATACTCAAATCATTTCCTAAAGGCTTCTGAGTGAGAACATAATGTCGATCACAAGTATCAAAATATATAAGGGTGACTTACACCACACAATACACAAGAGACTCTCAAAACCTAAGACTATTTTTCCTTCCCCAAATTTTATAATTGTTGAAAGAACTAATTACATTAGGTTAGATCTTCTCTTTAAATACACCTCTGCAGCCCATGGGCTTCGAATTCTACATCCAAATATTTCTTAATCCACATGTTGAGTGATCCACCAGTTGTGTAGAAAATCTCTTTAAATCTTGGAACAAATAATACAAAGTTTTCTAAATTGTCTCAAGGCCCAATTTAGTAACTAATGTACAACTGGAGATATAAAACATGTTCCAAAACAAATCTTGTTGACCTGCAAAATTTACTAAGATATATCCAAAAGAAATATCACATAATCCAATTAAATCTGTCAAGATTTAAAATAATATCACCTATTGTACCAGACCAAGATGTCATGACATCTACTTCGACATTTGGCTGAAAAACTCATAACAACAAAATTGTTATGTCGGTTGATAAAAATGTTGCACCATCTTGATCAACATCAGTAGAACCATGTTTTAGCAAAATTATGCCAACCTAAAAACCATGGAACTAACATAAACCTTCAAAAATACCCACTACTAAGAGAAAAGGAAAAAGGCTAGAGGGTTTCCTTTCTTTAGACCATTATGGATAATAATCTTCCACGCCAGACACTCATTCAGTAAGACGCATAGGCTACCATAAAGGACACAAGCTTCAATCCAAACTCTCCACGTATCGCCAAAATCAAAACTCCATAACATATAATCCATGAAAGACCAACTCACCGAGTCGTAAGTCTTCTTAAAATTCATTTTGAACATAAACGCTCTCTCTTAGACAACTTTGTAAGATCGAAAGTATCATTAAGAACAACCTCTCCATCCACTAACAATCACCCATTAACAAAATTTGATTGTTGTGGGGAGATAAGCTTCCCCATGACACCATCTAGCATAGCCTCCAAAATCTTAACCATCGACTTATACAAAAAACTAAAAAGAGAGATAGGACTGAAGACTCCTAACTCCAAAGGAAACTTAAACTTCGGTATGAGAGCAACAAAGAAGGACATCAAACTCTTAGGAAACACAACATTCTAGAAAAACTAATCAAATATCACATAAACCTCCTCTTTCACTGAACCCCAAAACTTCTTATAGAAAAAATTAAAACCACCAATTCGCATCCTTTTAAATCCATCAATATCAGTTACCACTACATCCACTTTTGAAGGTAAAAAAACTAGTAAAAAAGAACTCAGCCTTACCTGAAGAAAGACAACTAAGGGAATCCCCATTTAGGATGAGCCTAAGGGCCCCAGAATTAGAAAAAGCTTGTTAAAGTATCTAGAAATCTGTTATCGAACCTCAGAAAACTTATTGAACAAAATATTCCCCGCTTGGAGGGCGGGCTAACTGTTCATTCTACTTATTGCTTAACACGTGTATGAATGTACCCAGTATTAACATCTCGCTCCTAAAGCTATGCAAATTTGGACTACTAGAAAAATTGGTAATCACGACACTAAATAAGCTCTCACAACTCCCGATAAACAAGTATTCTACAATCTAACTCCTGCTAAGAAAGGGACATGGACTCCACCCTTAGCTCCAAACTCTCGAGCTTATCTAAACAAACATTAATCTTAGGATCCAAATTTCCTAACACATAATAATCACGTACCTTTAGGGCCCTTTTAGGAGCTTTCAACTTATCCTCATGCATGTATGCATGCCATCCAATCCTTCTAATCCTTCATTCGCCATGACTCTTGAACCATCATTTCGATGTTAAGACCCCTCAACCAAACATTGTTAAACCAAAAATGCTTAGGCCTCTAAAGCTAAGAAGAATACTTAACAACAATCATATAATATTCATAAACATCGTGATCCAAAGCCCATAAACTACCCTTGCCTCACTCCTTCTCCCATACTAGCGACAAGAGAACTCGATCTAACCTACTCATAAAGACCCCATTAGCATGGAACCAGAAAAACCTCTTATCCAGTAGATGTAAATCAACCAATCACATCACCTCAATAAAAGCCCCAAAATCTAAGGATTCCATGAGGGACGAACCTTGTGCCCCCACTCCTAAACTTATCCTCTCGACACGACAAAGAACCACTGAAGTGCCCAAAAATTCTCCAAACGAATGAACTCAAAAACTACTCGTGTGCTTGAAGTAGGAGATTTCACATCACCATTTTCTCAGCCAACAGGCAATTAACATACACATTTACCAAAAAAACATAGTTGAATGTTCACATCCCACTCGAGAGATCCCAAGATAACCTAAACTAGAGAACCAGAAGGATATTTAAAATATTTTAGGGTCATGTCTTCAAAATTGATGACTCAATTGACTAAGGTAAAATAGCTTAGATGAATTAGGTATTAAAGCTAAGTGTAAAAAACACAACTAATATCATTGTCAATTCTAGAAATAAAAATATTTATACATTAAAAGTTTAATAAATAAAAATGTATTTAAAAAAATAGAGAGAATCATAATTCATTTAGGTTCTCCCCCCACAATTTAGTAATTGGGGAATTTACAAAGTTTGATAATAGAGAAGAACCGGGTAGGAAAAAGCCAAACTTAATACACAAATTAGAGGAAAAGGAGTAGCTAGTCCTTGTCCATTACCCTACATTTGGCTAAATAATGAGACAGATAGTAAAAATAAAAATAAAAACAAAAACGAGACGCTGAAAAAGTTAGAGAAGATCTAACTCCTCATTGTATCATTACATCAAATCCAATAGAAACAAAAGACCAAAAACCTTCCCCAAATTCCTGTCATTCTATTTTTGTGTCTTTCATTCCTTGTTTTCATCTCATCAAAAAACAAAAACAACAAATATCAAACAAAATAGAGAACAGCCTATTGGTTCTCTCCCCTCTCTCATTCTCTCTCTCAAAATTTTCATTGGGAGAGAGAACCAAGAAAAATCATCATGGCTGATTCATCAAACCATGGAAATGCACCTCCAAAAGATCAATCATCTTCATCCGAACAACAATCCTCATCAAATACGGACACATCGCCACCACCGGTGGCCGCGCCTCACATGATGTACTACCAACCAGGACCCGGTGGTTATCCCCCAGGTCCTCATGGCCCACCACCACTTCACTATCATCCATACCCCCCACCACCACATGGATACCCCCCATATCCTCCTCAACCGCAAGGATACTATCCTGGCCAGGCACCATACTACCCTCCTCAAAACTATCATTCCGACGCAGCAGGTAGAAGCTTCCTTCGAGGTTTCATAATGTGTTCATGTTTCATATTCACAGGCTTCTTTATTTCAACTCTCATTATGACACTCATGTTTCATCCTCATTTACCCGTTTACAAAGTTAGCGCCTTGTCGGTGAATAATTTCAACACAACCTCAGTTTTAATAGGCGATTGGAGCATCAGCTTGGTCGCTCAGAATCCAAACGCAAAAGTAAGAGGCTATTTTTCAGACTTCAAGGTTGATATCTTGCATGCAACCAACGAGATAGCCATGAGTTTTGTCCCCGATTTTCAACTGGAGAAACTCGAACAAAAACAAATGGAAATTAAAGCTTCTACCAACAACGGAGGAAATGTTGTGTCGTTTCAAAGATGGGATTTGGATAAGATGAATGATGAAAAAAAACATGGATCCATTATGTTTGCTTTGAGGGTGTCTTCTACGATTGAGTTTAAGACAACCTCAACGTCCTCAGGAAGTTTGCTGTTGATGAATATTTGTGATAGTTTAAAGATTGTGTTTCAAAATAATACTGGGACTGGTACGTTGGACACTGGGGGTAATCCTGTCGACTGCAGACTTTTCATGTGAAAAAGAAAAAATCATATGCTATGTATGGGTTTGTATTACTCAATGATTTTTTTTTCTTTGATTTTTGCTGTTTTAATGTGGGAAACAGTTTTTTTCTTCTTTTTGCTTAGAGTTTTTAGAGTAATTAATTGGAACTAAACTTGTTTCAAAGCTCAAAGCTATATTCTTAGGATATATTTAGTTTTGGTGCGGCTGGTTTCATAAAAATAAATCTGAGACGTGCATACATGAATTTATGAGCTTAACTAACCAAACTACTCAGCATTAAATGTGCATATTAAAATTTGTATTTGTGGTGAATACAATAGAGGTGATCTTATATGCGATTGATTGCGTAAATGTCTTTAGGTTTTCAATATGTGAATAAATGATGATTTAACCTGATTATTGAGTTAGATATTTAAGGATTTGGATTCCCTTGTATGTTGTATGATATTTGTCTCATGTTTCCATTCAACTTCAATCCTAGCCGGTCATTCATTATATTTTAAATTCTTTTTGTGTTTTTATTTTCTATTTATAGACAATCAATCATTGAATTGAAAAGGGAGAGATGGCAGCTTCAAAAGAGTAGGAGAGGAGGATCCACTTCTGATATTTATAGTTTTGTTCCCTTATTAATGGACACTGATTTTTTTGCCTATAACTTCGGTTAGTCATTGAGATTTTGACATTGATCTAGCAGAGAGAATTATGGATGACGCGTCCCTTTATAAAAGAGACGTTGTTATTTAATCATTGTGATTTGGAGTTCTACGGTTATGAGTAGGACAATCTCGTTAGTTGTTTGGAATGTGTTTCACACGTCACTCCTATCAAGCAGGAGGCCTGGCGAGTATGCCCTTGTATTTATCATGTGACATCACCTTACTTTTATTTCGTACTCTATGTCCTATTATCAAATTGGAGAGTTGATGAACCAAAATTTTTGATATTAGTTAGGCTTAAATCATGACATAGTAGTCCATAGTCCCTCAATCACGAGGCATGTAAGAGAGAAGTGGTTAAACGAGAGAGATAACATGCCATAATTCCTCGAATGTGAGGCCTATAGGAGTTAAGTGGTTAAGCGATGGGCATGACAATTCGTTATCCCTCAAGCACGAGGTCTATAAGGGAAAAGGAAAGGTCATGCCATTTATAGGATTATGATTTAATTTTCTTGTGGCCTTCCAAAATGTGTAGACGATTGATTTTATGATCATTACAAAAAAATTTATTCAGAGGCGTCGGCAAAAAGCGGGCGCTAACTAGCATAACATGTATGCTAAATGTATATTAGTAAAGTGTAATGAATGTAGTTACATATGGTAATGCTGAGTCACTTGCTAATAACAAACTTCCAGATGGTGAGGAATCGGGACGCAGAAAAAGACAAAAGAAGCCCAGCTGAAAGCTAGCCAAATCGCAAGAGAATTAGTTAGTTATATAGGAGGGTAATGGCATGATATAAGGCATGAATGATGTATGATATTTCTCCTCCTCTGAAGATTCTATCTCTGCTCTGATTATTTTTCTGCATTGTACCTATTTGTAGAAGTTTCTCATAGAAACTTTCAAACCGTTTCCATAAATTCATTTTTCATCCTTTTCAGTTGTATTGTTTCATTAGTTACATTTATTATATTAGTTCTTTCATCACACCATGACAAACAACACACACATGAAGGATATTTATGAATAGCTGAAGAAGAATGCAGATGCAATCGATTTTTTTAGCACAACAATGATGTTGCAAATCGAGTGTTTGGAAGTTGTCGGTCACACTCAGATGACAAGGATGGTAGAGTTCCAGTGAGGTAATGAATCACAACTCTCTCTGCTCAAAACAAAACAGGGTCACTTGTTCTAGCGATTACAAGAGTCTCCCCATGGTCCTGCAAACTTATCACCTAAGGCCCTACAACGAAATGCATTTCAGGTGAGATTTGTCAAACTTGATTTCTCGTGTTTTGATGGAAAAACTGTGATGGACTGGATCTTCAAGGATGAACAATTTTTTGACTATTACACTATACCTGGTGTTGATAGACTGATTATTACTTTAGTTCACTTAGATAATGATTTTGTTCTGTGGTATCAAATGCTTCACAAAACTGAACCATTCAACTAATGACAAGCGCTTACTAGGGCTTTAGAACTAGATTTTGGACCATCTGCTTATGACTACCCTCATGCTACTCTGTTTAAACTAAATCAATCTGAAGTTGTTAATGAGTATTACATATAGTTCACTGCCTTGGCGAATAGGGTAGATGGATTAAGTGCATAAGCCATTTTGGAATGTATTGTGAGTGGATTGCAGGAAGAAGTTAACAGAGATGTTAGAGCCATGGAACCCAAAACCTTAACCAAAGTTATAGCATTAGCCAAAAACAAAAAACACATTAAATGATGTTAGCCACACCCAAAATCAAAAACATTTTCAAACTTAGCCAGAAACTCTGGCCCAAACAAGTTAGCCACACCAAAATATTCAACGAATTTCCAAAATAAATGATGTTCCTAAAACCACATTCCCATCACTTTTACCCACACCACCAATCAAACCTTTCAACATATAAAACCAAAACATAAAAATAATTTCCCCTGCTGAGATTCAATTAAGGAGAGAAAAGAATTTATGTTATTTTTGTGATGAAAAATTTCCCCTGCATACAAGTTCCCCAATAGGCAAGTCATGTTTCTTCAGTTAGAGTAAGTAAATGGCCCCACTTGATGACCAACCACTCGTGATAGTAGAGAGAATCAAGGCTTATGAAACTCGCCACTTATCCTTAAATTCTATGAGAGGATAACATGGTGTGGGTGTCGCTACCACGAAAAATACTGACCCAAATAAAGTCACCATCGAATGTTATTTATCCCAAAGAAGGGAAAGGAAAACATCTAGAAAACCTAAGAAAGGGAAAGAACATGGTATCACGACCAAAAGAAAGGTATGAAAGTCGATTACACAAGGGGAAGGTATTAGCACCCTCACTTCTATTATACTCAATGGGATCCACTCTTTTTATTCTAATCAAATGATGTGTATATCTAAAGCTTACTTGCTAAGGGAATGCATGAGAGAATTGAATGGGAAAAACAAAAGGTTTTTATTATTGTGTTCGCCCGGGTTTTGCAATCTAGTGCCTATGTATCCCGTGAAGGAATCAGAACATTGTAGTTCTTCTCAAACATTTAGGTTTGTTTTATGTTTTTTAGTGAACAATCTTAAGTTCGCATTCTACTTCCGCTCAACCTTTGGAGACTTACGCACGGTTGTATTGTGTTGAAAGGAATTAACATGTACTTTTTGAAAGGTTTTCAAAATAAAATCCCTAAGGAAAAAGGAATTTGAATTTGTTGTGTGTTTTGTTTGAATCATAGCAAATGACCCCCAATGCAAGAGCACCTACTATTTCTCCATTTATTTGTGAAAAGGTTTGTGAATTGAATCATACTAAAGGCTATGGATGAAATAAAGAACAAGGTTGGGAATGCACTGCCTCGTTCTTCTCCAACCATTTAAGGCTCGTGGCATATGATTAGCATCTTTATTTATTATGTGTTTTTGGAGTTTGAAGAAGAAAACAAGTTTTAGTCTTACAATAATGCAATACACAAAGAAGATAAAAATCTAAGGGAACATGGTCTTATTTTTATCATACAAGGATGGACCTAAGGTTAGGATATCAAGGAAATATGTAGCTAATATTTTCATGTACAATGGCCCTAAGGTTAGGATATCATGGGATTATCTACCTAATGTTGTCATGCTTGGATTAGAAATCTTAAGGTCTATCTCAATTCAAATCTTAAACAATATTGAACCAAAAGATCCTAAGGATGCATGTTATCACACAAAGTAAACACATAAACAAAACATTAAAGTTTAAAGATAACAATCCAAAAGCAAAATCTTAGGCTCTCAAACAAAAATCGCGACAAAGCCATACTTAACCAAAGAAGGACTTCAACCAATACCTCTTAGGTCTAACAAGACTTAAGAAAAAAGAAAAGACTCAAAAGTGAGAAAAGACACCACCCACATACAAGCATGTGTCATGACAAAAATAAGATTCAAGAAATGTCACTTAAACATGCATTAGGTAAACATATGATCAAGAAATTTTAAGAAGGTACCTAAACATGTATTAGGTAAGAATGCATCAACTTAAACAAGCAATATATGAACATGCATAAAAGAAACTCAAGTAAGCACCTAAACATGTAATCGGTAAGGCTTCAAAGCTTAAAAGTAAAGCATCAAGTCACACCAACAAGCAAGGTTGAAATACATCTCAAGAAGAGGCAACTTCAAATTGGTCATGTAATTCAAGACATTGAACAAGTATTCACATTAGAGGAAACAACATAAACTCACATGGAAATGTTTAAAGAAATTACTCAAAGGAGTTTATGGCCTTATGTGCACAACTTAAGATTCAATTTGTGAAATAAGACTCAACAATTAAACACAAAGTTCAAACACCTAGGTGAAAACCTAAACATGCTTCCAAATCAACTTCAAACTTGAACAAAGTGAAGCATCAATCAACAACCTAAGATAACAACATAAACATCATGCAAAAGCTTCAAATATTAGCTCAAATGAGCTCATGACAATAAGATATGTTAACAAACATTCAAGTCATGAAGAAATGGCACAAAATTCATTTATGAAGGTAATCACCTAATCATGCTTGTAAATTCATATTCTAAAGCACAACATTAAACTTAAAGGCATAGCATCAACATATGTTAACAACATTTAAGTCATGAATAAAGATTCAACAACCACAAACCAAGTTCAATAACATCAAGGTAACAACCTAAACATGCTTGAAATTCTAAACCCTAAGTCAATTGATTCAAGTTCACAAATAGGGCATCAATACATGTCAAAATACAATTAATAAAAAAAAATTCCAGACCCTAAGGTTCATTCTTAATAAGGGTCATGCATTAAGGTTTCAACCTAAACAAAACAATTTGAACAAGTGCATAAGCAAACA